CAGGATAAGACGCGTGATAACCCCTGATTTTGTAGCCCAGAACCCGGACAGACCAATAAAAAAACAGTTAAAAATGTCACAAATCAATTTTTTTATGCTGATCTAGGCAAAAGAGCTAACGGTGTACCTCATGATAAGTGGTCACTGCTGCCCATGGACACTTGCAGCACCTAGGGCCACTCATGCGTTGCCGTAAATTTTTAAACCCGGACTACAAATAAAACCCCGCCCGGACGCTCCCCGGACGCCCCGTAAACTAGGACAAATCCAGGTAAACCCGGACGGATGGCAGCCCTAGTCTTATATAACAGAGATCTTTTGTAAGGAGGAGGTTGATTGAAGACTGAAACTCCTAATGAGAGGTAGAGTGGAAGTCTTTTTTTCGATTAACACTTTAACTTCACGTGAATTTTCTATAGCGCTAGAAATTATTGTACAGCATTAATCCCTCCCCTCCTTTCATTACCCGTCTTAATTCAGCTAATTAGTGCTAAATAAACTAGCAGGACAAAGATGACTGAAAATGTTTGTAACTTGACTTTTAGTGATTTGAATGGATAGAGTTGTTTTCATTCTATATTTTTATCGCTCTAAAGTTCATCATCGTCTTCCTTACTTTTATTATTAATTTCATTCGCCACCTGATTGCCTACTAGAATTTTATAGTAATTTTAGTCGTAGCTTGTCATTTGTACACAACAGCTTTGCACGTGCCGATATTTTGACTAGGATTTTTAATGTGCCAGTCACGTAGGTTCCGCCCAAATTGCGCAGCATTGAATAAGGTTTTTTAGCGATTAGGTATGCGAATTTATTTCCTGCCCGTATTTGTGACTAACCACTAGTTTCAATAATCAGCCTCCAGTAAAAGGTTAGCTTATTTTGGTTGCAGTTCTTAGAAACAGTTTTTATTGTTAGAGTCTAGACGAGGAACCTATATACAGGGGCGGCTTTAGGCCTTAAGCGGGACCCCGGGCGACAGATCATTGTGGAGCTCTTTTACCCGAATTTGCCAAAAATTTGGTTATGTTTTTCAAGTGTATTTTCATTTATATTTTTTTGGCAAGCTCGTTAGCCTATGCGGTTTGATGGTTTTTGGCTTGAGTGGTGTAGTTAGAATTTTCTTAGTTGTGAGACTCATTAAAGTTGTCGCTGGAAAACAAACTACTTTTATACAAAGGGATCCTCGAAAATTCAATCTCGACTCTGAAGCACAGCCTCCAACTTTACTCTTCCACTCTGTCTTATTCCTCCCCTCTGTTGTTTGTTATTTATTAAGATCACCATAATTATTAAGTATCTCTTGTAGAGTTTGATATGGCACATAACAACCAAAATTTGGAATTTGGTTTGCTGTTTGAGGGCGTGGGGAGGGCCCCGGGCGGTTGCCCGGTTTGTTCCCCTCCCCTAGAATACCTCTGCCCTTATGTTTCGTCATGTCCATCTGTGTGTCAGTCTGCCCGTCCGAGGTTTTTCTTGGAGACCGTTAGCACTAGAGAGCTGCAATTTTGTGGAGGTATGTAAGTCAATCACGCCAAAAAAGTCGTAGAATAAAGTTTTGAAAAACTTTGTTTTAGGTATTTCCCCTACTTGTAACGTGGAGATGTGCTTTTGTTCATCGTCTACGCCATGGGGGTATCATTGAATAGGTCCTTTAAAATGACTTAGGGGTTGCTAAGACTATTTTCTGATTTCGGCATGCGTTTGCGAAATATTAAACTAGAAAAGGCAAAATTTTGTTTGAGTAGGGCGAACCCCTTAAAGCTTTAAAAATTCTCATAATTTATATATATTTTTTTTATATATGTATAACTGGTCACAGACAGTTACCAAGTCAAAATTAACATAAATAAAAAAAAAACATGGCTACGCTTTGCTTTCTTTCAGCAAAAATATAGGTTTGCAACTTGGTTGAAACATTTGTAACGAGTTTGAAACAAACTTTAAACTTGAATAATTCGCACTGCCCACTAGGTGGGTGACACTCATAAAAAGTGGCACGTGCAGACTCTTTACAAACTAAAGTGTTAATAAACAATTTAACATGTAAAAAAATTAAAGATTATTCAACTGGTGTAGTCATGGTCGATGGCCGCTTTATACAAACGTAATAATAATTTTATTGGCATTGAATGTTCAGTTTTTGCGGTGCTAACACTTGAAATTGGCTTATCTTTTTATATGCATTTGCTTTTTGCAAGCGTATTGTGTATGTATGCCTTCCAACCCCATTAGCATGAGCACTACAATTTACATTATATGAAGTTTTTTATCGTGTCTAACTTCATAGTTATATGATAATTGAGCGTGATAAAAACGCGTTATATATCATATCGCGGTGCTCATGTTAGGGGGGGGGGGAAGGGAAATTAATACTACGCTTACAGCAACTGAAAAGGGACAAAGGATAATTAATATTCCAGTGAAATTTATATTTTAGTCGTTTAATCCGGTAGATCAGATTTTTTCTGACTTGTTTATGATGATGACCCAATAAATAATTAATTGCATTATATAATATCCTCATTGCTGCGGCAGAGGTACAGGCATTCCCCATGGATAGAATAGGAAGTACGGTCCATAATCCATAACCTGCACTGCGCTTCCATTTGTTTGTGCTACGACTGTAAATGCAGCCAGGACCAACGACTTAGCGTGCTGTACGAAAAACGGAGAATCTCAAGCCAAAAATGTTTGATCAACAATTCTATGATTGCCACTGCAAATGTTGCTTACTTTCCGCGATCGCAGACCGAGCTCGCCGTGCTTCATTATCATCATCATCACCAGCCCATTAATGTCCGTGCTGCTGGGGCACAGGCCTCCCCTGTGAAGATTGGGCTGTGACCCACCACGCGGGCCCAGTGCGGGATGCAGGCGGGACCAACGGTAAGCCGATAACGTTAAGACGTGCCTCCTGAAGCACGAATGAGGTCGATATAATAAGTTTTTGTCGCCCATCCAATCACGATCAGAAATCCGTAGAAGAACTCGAGTATCCGACATAGCTATACGGATCGCCATGCTGAAGTGGCAATGGGCGGGGCACATTGTTCGGCGAAACGATAAACGTTGGGATTCTAAGGTGCTTCAAATGGCGTGTTCGCACCGGGAAGCGCAGTGTCAGTAGATCCCTTACCAGGTGGACTGACGACATCAAGCAAGTCGGGGGGACCCACTGGATGCGGAAAGCTCAGGATCGTTGTGCTTGGAGATCCCTAGAGGAGGCCTATGTCCAGCAGTGGACGTCCATCGGCTGATTATGATGATGATGATCCTATGACCGACCATTGTGTTGCGTAACTTCCACGATCGCAGCCCGAACACTAAGTCACTAAGGGCAAACCCCCCGAAAGAATGGCCTCTGAGTTGTCAGCGCCCGGACTGGAAAACTTAGAGGGGGGAATGTCCGAGTAGCCTCGGCCACTCGGACACCCGCGAATGCCGTCGCCCGCGTTTTCCCCTTCTTCTCCTAGGAGAAGACGTGAGGAGACGTGGGCGACCGGGAGAGGGGAGAGGGACGGGAAGAACTACGCTTTCCCTCCCGCTCCCCCCTCCCAGGAACGGCGGCTCCCTCTTGTAGTTGGGCGGTGGAGGGTTGAAAAAAAAGGCCGACAGACATAAAAGAAAGGCCGAACACGCTATCCACCTGCGCCATGGAGCTCCTCCCCCTCCTCTCCTCGTTCTTCGCCAGAATTATTATATTATATCAAGCCAATATTTCGTACAAAAAACTCAATTAGCAATGTTATTATATTAGTGTTGCTGTATACTGGGACACAACTCAACCGTGGGCGGGGAAAATACCGGATTTCCACCTGCTATTACTTATACAGCCCTGGCACGGACGTTTCATCGATTTTAATTAATGATTAATCCACGGATTTGTTATAATCATTAACCACTTGATACTGGATAATTATCATTATACATTGCTGTGGTCCCTGATCGTGAGTGTACGGAGATGTAAGTGATTCATGAATGAAAAACTGAAAAACACTTGTGTTCTGAAGGTTACAACAGTAAACTTATACCACTTAAGAATTAAGGAAAAATATATTTATGTTTTTTATCCAAAGTACGGTCACATCTCCCTTAATGGAAAGCGATTGGATTATTTATTTATTTATTTTGAAAAAAAAACAACAAAAAGCAATTACATTTATCACACATTTGCATTTTTCAGTTTCACACATTTTAAATGTTCGTCAAAACAAATCATACAACGTAAATGATATTAATATATTATAAATAGGGTAAGCATTTCAAATAAAATTAAATGTACCTATCTATTAACAAAAATTAATGTCAATCACTATCCTCATTCTCAGTGCAACCAGTATTGGTGCATTGATCGGTCAGACTTTCACAGTAACATAATATTGCTGACTTGATGGTAGACCAACTGTCAAAAGAAAAGTCAAAATGACTAATTACTGTAACTGGCCTGCACGCATTAAAAAGGGAAGAACTTAGTTTTTAATATGAGGTGAAAAAAAATTATCCACCCAATCCAGTACTTATGGTAAGTGATATTGCAGACTAGGTAGTTACGGAAATATCAAGTCCTGACGTTGCAGAAAATCGTTTCAGTTACCTGGATTCAATGCTTCTACCTCTTTAAAGTTCTGGGTATCGCACTTTGCCTCATTCAATAGCCCGATGGTGAAATTGTGAAATGAGTCACATTTGACAATAGGGGTGGTGACAACCTGAAGTAAACGAAATTATATTAAGTCCGTCAGTCAGATAATTAAAAAATACTGGTCACATATTCTTTCTTATGTCAATCAACCAAAAATTACAAAGATTAAAGTGCGTCAAAGTTTGGGAATGGGGGTTTGTGACGACCCTTCTAAGTTATAAATTTTACCCTGATGTGACGTCATACTTTTTGATAATCTACCTGATAGACGAAGAACAAAAGTTAGTCAACATCCCCATTTACGCTCCCAGAAATGTGCAAATGCATTTGTCACATCAAAATTAACAATTCGCAGGCAAGGCGAGAAGTGGCATCATCTCCGGCGGCATCTGACTGCGGAGCTGACCAGCCCACACACGATGCACAGCTTCCTGCCACTGCTGAACAGCACCAGCGACGACTTCCTGGCACTGCTGCAGGCTTGTCGCGCACCTGATGGCACTGTGCTTGGATTCGACCAGCTCACTAACAGGATGGGGCTTGAATGTAAGTGTTTTATCTTTCAATTGACCTGAGCAATTCGCACTTCATGCCCTGCTGCTTGAAGCTGCTGCGACGAGCTTCAGGGACGATTTTCTGGCACTGCTGCAGGCTTGTCCCGCACCTAACGACAATATGTTTGGCTTCGACCAGCTCACTAACAGTATGAGACTTAATGTGAGTGTTTTATGCCTCGTTTCTCCTGACCAGCCCTCACACAATGCACAGCTTGCTGCCGCTGCTGTACAGCTTCAGCCTGATTTCCTGGTGCTTCTGACCAATCTTACCAATCGAAAGTGATCAATTTTGTGCCGATTTGGGTTTTACTTTGAAATCGGTTTATTTGAAAACAAGTGTGAATTGGCAACAATAATTATGTTCTACAGGTTGCACCTACATAATTATTTCTGGAGCAATATGTTATTCTCTAGTCAACCCCACTTGCTGCGGTTTAAAATTTACATTCCAACTTTCTTTAGCGATATTGGTTGCATAAAAAATCTTTATCCTTACAAACCATTCACAACTTCGAAAGACAATATTTCAGCGCATTCGGTCGTAAAACTATCAAATCGATTAAGAACGCTGCATTTCCCATTATCACTGGTTAGTCACGTTGCACTCTCGCTATCATGATTTATATTTTGGCTGACAAACACTTTCAGATAGTGCAGTGTATGTATTCTATGACGAGCGACCCTTGCTATGACGCGCTCTGATAACATAATTAGGTCAGTGTAGAAATAGCAACGCAGGCAAGTGCGTGAGCGTTGCACTACGAGAAATGCATTGAAACCCTAGCCATGAAGCTCTGTTATCGGTATTGCCGGAAGTTGTGCCTTGCCGTTTAACTAATGGCTAATGGGCAGGGCAATAGGCAGTTATGATTACTGTAGCATAAGTGGCTTCTACTATTATTCATACGCCAACAATGTAAGTAATTGGTTAGGTACATTGTTTCGCTATGAGTTTTTTTAGGTTTGCAATTTTCTTTTTCTTCAGGTCTTAGGCAGTAAAACAGATTCTGTGTTTCACAAAGATAATGATGTTAGAAGGTATTATTGTCGATGGCCAAATTGGAATTCCATTTTTTTATGAAATACAATACGTACTTATATTATTAGCCATTCAAAAACTGAAATACAGCTCAATAATTGCGATTGATACAGAACGAATAATCAGAATCTAGAAAAAAATCCTTTTTTTGTCCCCTTATCAGGATTTTTACATTTCTGTACATCCAATATTATTTAACCTAAGTTTTTTTAGTAAACATGATACGATTTATCCCCTTATCAGGATTTTCACAATCCTGTACACCCAATATTATGGTTCTTTAAGCATTTATATTTTACATTATATCTTATATAAAACGTGATACGTTTTACGTCAGTGAAAAGTAGATCATTTTCGCTCGCTGCTAATAAGGAATCTTTATTAAATAAGACACTATTACCGTAAAACTAGTTAAGCATGTCGATTGCGTACACCACATTGCAAATTGGTATTCAGAATTAACACGTGCTTTTCATGAAACACTGCCAGAAGTAGTGCAAAAAAGTGATCGAGTTAATAAATTAACCAGTATCTACTCATTAGTTATGCTGCTATTAGATATTACGATAAGTCGCTCCAGTTGCGCTTGCGCAGTAACATTGATGTAGGTCTAGGACTGTAGCGGGATGACTACTTTGTTACCATGTTATGATATCATTCATATCATTTACAGACAAACATTTCATAATTGTTTTTATTATCTTCAATTGTATTCTATGCTTATCTGTAAGGCCGAATAGCGTAATGTCACATGCACACCAACTGTTTGTTTTTCACATTGTAGAAAAAACGTTATGACTGTAGATTTCGACATTAACTGCCTTTGTCTGGCAACTTAAGATTTTCTATCTAGGGTAAAGAATGAAACATGCACAACTGTAATAAATAAAAGTTAAAACGAAAATGACGACAGTATTTAAATGATCGTTAGGTTTGTACGTAACCTACCTAATTTTTTCGTTTGAAGTGGAGCACCCTTGAGGGAAAGTAACCTCCATATTACAGAAGTAACCTTCATCTTACAGAAGTAACCTCCATCTTACAGAAGTAACCTCCATATTACAGAAGTAACCTCCATATTACAGAAGTAACCTCCATATTACAGAAGTAACCTCCATATAACAGAAGTAACCTCCATATTACAGAAGTAACCTCCATATTACAGAAGTAACCTCCATATTACAGAAGTAACCTCCATATTACCGAAGTAACCTCCATATTACAGAAGTAACCTTCATTCTACAGAAGTAACCTCCATCTTACAGAAGTAACCTCCATCTTACAGAAGTAACCTTCATCTTACAGAAGTAACCTTCATCTTACAGAAGTAACCTCCATCTTACAGAAGTAACCTTCATCTTACAGAAGTAACCTCCATCTTACAGAAGTAACCTCCATATTACAGAAGTAACCTCTATATTACAGAAGTAACCTTCATTCTACAGAAGTAACCTCCATCTTACAGGAGTAACCTCCATCTTACAGAAGTAACCTTCATCTTACAGAAGTAACCTCCATCTAACAGAAGTAACCTGCATCTAACAGTGACGTACTACCTTTTGTTAGTGTTATTATTTCTGTCGGTAAGGAGCTCGATAAGTGATGATGAGAGCGTCTGCTTTGGTTGAAGTTGCTAACACTTTCGGAATAGTCGGTCAAATGATGGATGACCAAAGGTGTATTATCTTAAACTCTTTCGTGCTTCGGAAGGCACGGTAAACTGTTAGTCCCAATTGTATCAGCAATTCTTAGCACCCAACAATGGGCGACTGAATCATTTCTTGACCCATGACCGGTGTAATTTGGTCGAAACAACGAGATAAAAAAGGTACTGAAATTATGATTAAGGTTCGCGTTTTTGTTGTAGTTTTGAAAGAATGCTAGGTAAATATTTGGTTTTTCATGTTTAGAAGAGAAAAAACATGTGGGTTGTTCTTCTTTTTAACCTACAAAAAGGTGTCTTCATCCGTTATAAAAAAATATAATCAAAAATTATCGGTATTATTTTATAATTCATATATCAATGTGTACTAAAAATGTAACGACTATACACGTTTAAAATAAATAATAATTTCTATTTTAATACTAAAAATAATGTTACAGAGTCGTCAATCCGCGTGACAGAGGTGTATTCCATACAAATCACAGTTGTCTCCCGCTACCTGGGCCTGTGTATAATTCATAATAGTACGAAAAATATAAAAGACAGTAGCAAATATAAAAGTATTTTTTAATGCTGAAAGATATAGGCCATCTTGTAATAGTGACTATTTTTTTTTGACATTTTTAATAAAAGAATAAAAAAATCTTATAATCTCGTCTCTCACTACAGACTGTTTTAGTAGGTATATTCGGTCACGTGTTTTTTCGTTCGAACGACGCGTATACGCAGTTCGCTTTTCTCGCTGTCATAGGATATTTAGTTCCCCCTCCCCCTCGCTGGGATTACCTCTGCAAGGCCGAGAGATCGCGCGTTAGTCGCCCGGAAGCTGATTAAGAATGTGCGTGTGTTTATTCGGCGACAACTTCGTCACGTAAGTATTGGACAAAAATATATTAATTATAGTTACTTCTTATTATTTAACTTTTACGTAATAATAAACACTTTCGTGCCAACCTGTAAGATTTGTATGATGTGGTAACGTTTAATTATTATCGTTTTTGTAAGTAAGATTTACCCCTCCGTCATGCTACAACTCCGTAACAAACAAATTGTGACGGAGTGGTAAAGTACGTGACGGAGGAGTAAAAAATGGCAAGGAATTCAATATTATCTCACAAAATATAAGAATCTGTTGAAATAGGACTAGTACTTATTATCGTAACTGTTTCAATATGAAGTTTATCTAATGTTTACATACTTATTTATATATTTTCTTTTTTAAAAGACAAAAAGACAGCGGCGTTGCCGGCAGAAACAAATAAATGATCCAGAAAAAGTAGCTGAAGTGAAACGCAAAGATCTCGAGAGATATCATACTCGTAAGAAGCTTGTGGCTGACATGACCATGAGAGAGCATCGTATGATGAAAAGAAAATGGCAACAACGAAATAAAAAAAGAAAGGAAAACAAATGCTTGAAAACGTACTGTTGAACACGCCGGCTCCAACGCCAATACCAGTAGATCCACAAATGCCTCTTTATTCTGCAACACCAACTAATTCAGAAGTATCTAGCTCAAGGGGGAGGAAAAGAATTCTAACACATAGCGGATATCTTTGCCTCTTGCTACAATAGCATCAGCGTGGCGTTTCAAAGCTCCACCAATACCATCAGCAGCTCCGTTTCCATGTCCTGATTCAAAAAAAATCCAAGATATTTTATGAAAGTTGTACTGTTCAAAAAACCGGTACGCCATTAGGTAAAAGTTAATCTTTTCCTTATACTAGGTAGCTGGTCCATCTAAAAAAAAATGTACAGTCGTAACAGTTCGATGATTTGTTTAAAGGTGAGCACAGATCGCAGAAGGCCATGGTTACCAGCAAAATAAAATGTTTTTGGTGGCAGACGAAGACATAGACAACGTAGCATCGACTCTTCCAAGCAATATTTTACCCCTAAAAGGAACCATGCAAATCCACCAAATGTTCTCAGAAACTCGTGGAATCTTAAACTATAGGGTTCTGAGTTGTTTTTGTGAACAATTCTGTTCGTGTCACGTTCCTAAAACTTACTACACGTTGATAACATATTTTGGGCCACTTGTTTCCTAACGATAAAGACGACGTTGTAATTCATGAGATGGAGGATTTGTCACTCACTGATATTAGGAACAAAATTAGGATGCCTCGAAAAAGTTTTTATGATAATGTGGATGGCCCGGATGAATCATCTGTTGAAGACCAGCCATTGGCTACATATAAAAACAAAGATTCCTCTAATCCAACTGCCGTTTCTAGTACTTCTTATAAAACACTTCACCTTGGGGACATTTATCCAAGGAATATAGAAGACGGTGTACATGTACTCGTTAAAGTAAAAAGTGAAACGAAGTTTCAAGACACATACGCTGGAGTAGCAAAAAGTAACGTTGATGAAGAAGTTCTGGTGATGTTCCTGAAAACAGTCGATGATTGTGGGAGATTATTTAAATTAGTGGAGAATGTGTTATCGGATGTTCCGTATGAGGATTTGATTAAAATTCTACCAAATCCAAAGGTAGCTAAAAAAGGAAGAAGACAGTCTTTCAAATTTCATGAGCCTTTGCCAGTGTTTGAAAAGTAAGACTGGTTAGGACTTGTATGACTTGTGGAGAAAGTAATTTGTTGTTGATGATTATTATTTTATTTTATTTTTTCAGGCAATTTGAACATTATTTTTTATTTTTATTTAGTTGAGACAAGTTAGAAGTCTTATAATTTAATTATACTATAATACTGATCTCTCATTCCAAAGGTTCTGCAATATGATTTTATTAGTATGTAAGTATCTTGATATTAAGAAAGCGGAAGACTTTGAATAATAAGAAATAAAATTATACCAAAGAAGTAATAAATGATTCTAAATAAGTACATTTGAAACCGATTTTATTCCAACATACAACCTAATATTTAATAGAATAACAACTCTGTCACACACTCTACCACTCTGTCATGATAATGTCTCCTGGTTTTAAAATGTATATAGCAATTTTTATATTTTGTTATGAATAGTACAATTTCGGAAAAATCATATTAAAAATAGTTAACTATAATATAGTCTACGATATTAATATTTCTATGCTAGAAGTGGTTAAAATTGAATTATAGCAAAAATTACTTCAAACTAGCTGCAATTGTGACAGAGTGGTATAAGAAGGAAAATATATATTTATTATAATATGCAGAAATTTTGCTTTGTATGTTTTCTAAAAGGACCATTTGATTATTATTGTAATAAATAATTTGCAAGTTATCTGAGTTAAACTATTTGATACAAAAAAAATAAAAGGTATTGTGACGGAGGTGTACAATTATTAGCCCAATCCATCTTTAAGACCTTGAAAATCTTATAAAAATTTGTAAACTTCGCGGCCAACCACTTTTTCAGATAGAATAGACATTCTGCTGCCAGAAAACATATAAGATTTGACTAGAAAGCGTTATAATTTTTTTTGAAAATTTGAGTAAAAATTTTACCAACATGTAGGTTAAAAAAAAGAATGACCCATGTACAGTTGAAAACGGTATATTTTGAAGTGAGAAAGTGCCAAATATAAACAAACATTAAAACATATAAAAATAGAATACAATAGGTTTTATGATAAGCCAGTTACAATAGTTTTAACCTGTATAAGCTTCACGGAACACGAGATTTTTTTTGCAGCTTTCCCACTCTGTGGCAGGACATTTTCGTGCTTTTTTTGTTTTTATTTCTTTTCGAGAGGTTTTCTTTTCTCTCCTTCGTGATTTTTTCTTTCGTGTTATATACTCGTTTTTCATTATTTTTTACAATTATTATTATCTGTTTACACTTTCATTTTTCATATAATATTGCTTGTTTATCTCTATTGCTAACTACTAAATCAGTGCAATTTTCTGTATTATAAAAATTAGTTACTATCTTTTCTTACATTCATTTTGAGATCAATTTTTTAACTTAAGTTACTAATCCCTGTTTTTCTCATTTGTTCACAGCTTATTGTTATTCTATTTGAAATGTAAACAATGTTTGTAAAAAATGTTTCTTTCCTATATTTCTTAGTCCTTATTTAAACATTTTGCTTATATCCTATTTATTCTTTTTACAAGTTCCCGGTTATTATTGATACATTTTACCGTTGTTTCATTTACAGTGAACACGAGATTGGCTAGCATATCGCAGTGTATCGCAAGTTTCTTTAGACATTGGTAACTGTTTAGCATTAGGCGGCATCAGGCGGCCGTATGTAAAAATTGGGATTAGCCCAGAGTCAACCATCAAAAACTCTCTAACATCGTATTTAGATAATATTATAAGAGAACATCTAGTACTCGCAGATCCTCATCAAATTGATCTTCCTCTACCATGCTTAGCGTAAAGCTAATGGCGATCAAGTTATAATTCTCTTTTACTACTTTTCCAGCTGTATGCGGCCTCATGTTAGGGACAAGGCTGGGATTCCTGGAGCGCTGCATGTCAGGTCGAGCGGCCACACTCGCTGCGGCCGTGAAGGCACACTTCCGGGCCCAAAGGGACTCGTACTACGGCGCCCCACTGTGGAAATTCGCTCCTACCACTCTGTATAGGACGTTCGTGAGGAGCGAGGAAACAATCCATACGTGAGTTACTCATTTGATTACTATAGGAGATAAATGTATGATTGGGGAATTGGGGGAGCAGTTCAAAAAAGAACACCGAAATAAGAGTCTGAGCTTAGGCATTAGGTTTTCTTTAGGTGGTTAAATCTAGCAGTTATATTATCCATTACTTCAACACTGCCTACTGGGAGGCACAAGATCAACGGCAAGCTTCAAGTTAGTTAAAACAGTATTCCAGTATGAGTTAGGTTTCTAGAACTTCGAGAAATAGGTTGGGGTTCTAACAATCAAGATACAGCTCTTTATTTTATAAGACTGCTTGCCTCGGGCATTGGTTTGACTGTATAAGCTAGTATTGGAACCACCAGTATGCACTCCGGCAAACTTCTTGAGCAATGACCATAGATAAGGAAGCCTGTGCAGTAGCAATTTTAAAAATAAAAACGTGTACTGCGCAAGTGTGTCTGTGGTTTTACTCAAGAATTTTGCCGCTACTTTTACATATCGGTAGTATATTCCTTGGTAATGATATAACGTGCAAAAGTGGTCATAATTTCTGTCTCTCTTTCACCGAATTCCAAAATGCTGGCAGGATAGTATCGGAATTAATGGAGGAGGCGAAGTCGCGAACTAAAGGCAGCGCACAGGACGACGGCATGCAGGAGATCTTCCTTCGCATCCTGGAGAACCCCGCGCTAGACATGCGCGACAAGAAAGCGGCCGTGATAGATTTCATCACCGCTGGAATTGAAACGGTAAGACAATCTGGAACGAACTTCCCTCAGCGGTTTTCCCTCCAAGCTATGATATGACGGTCTTGGTGGTCTAGGTAGACTACGAGCTCGTTACCTCGTTACCACTAATATTATAAATGTGTTATTTTCTGTTAGTAACATTGATGTTTGTTAGTGAATCACGCTCAAACGCCTGAAGAGATCGAACCATAGACCAGATGAAATTTGACAAAGTATGATCTTGAAGTTAAACATAGGTACGCTTATTGCATAAAGCGATAATGCTGAAGTCCAAAAATCTATCGTTAGCAGGATGAAATGTAAAGTACACAAAGTTGCGGGTAGCAAAGCGACTGCCAAGTGCAGACTCTCAAATGAAGGGTTTGTACCATTGCCCTTGATTTAATGTTTGGACTTTCTGGATTCTTATTAACTTTACGACTTCAATTTGATTATTAGGTGTACCTCTCTTGTGCTTGTAAGCGTCAATTGACTTAATATTTAGGAAGACCACATTTTTTTTATCACTATTATGGCATAACACGCAAAATATAAAACCAGGTATGCAGATTCTTTGCAAATCATACATCATTAATTTATATCGCTCAGGTGCGGGCTCTCAGACCAGTCATCTATTTGTAAGAAAGCAATATGTTTTGAGCTAATATCGGGTGTATTCCGTAATATATACCAGTATACTGGCCGGTGCTAATGACGTCATGAATCGACGCTATCATCATCATCATCAACAGCCTATCTTAGCTGGACATAGGCCTCTCCAAATGCACGCCACTCGGATCGATCTTGGGCTACTCGCATCCAGCTCCTGCCAGCCACCTTGCGCAAATCGTCACTCCATCGCGCCTGAGGACGTCCTACACTACGTTATAATTATAATTATATTCGACGCTATACTGGTGAATTATTCCGAAATAAACTGGCCAGTACACTGACGTCATAAATCGGCGAAATATTAAAAATAGTGCGAATAAAGAAGATTTTTTATTCACCTCATCAATTAAAAGGAATTCTTTTTGTTCGGATGCCATTATTGTTCATTAAATAAAAAGAAATAAAATTCGAATGCATCTCACGCACGCTCGATCATACGTCATATTCGTCTTCGCGGTAAAAATATGGTAGCATAGCAGTACAGTATGGCGTCGGATTCATTACCGCTGGCTAGTATACTGATGTATATTTCGGAATACACCCATCAATAGCCAGACCCTTATTATCTCCATTTTGATCCTTGACCGATCACTACTAACCTAGCTAAACTTGTGTTTTATTGTTATGGTAACATAAATGGGTCTAGTTATAACGGCTACAGGCTAAGTTTTAAGTTATTTTCGATACTTGATCCACCCGCACTATAGAAGATCATCATGTTTATCTAATCAAGTGTAAATGAATTACAACTTTTGTAGGTCGGATTTTTGAAAGAAAATATTTATTTGAGACAACATGTGTAAGTAAGGTGTTATGATTTTAGGGGTGCATAACATGTCGTGCCTATATGGGCATACAAATTCAGCAGGTTACCTATTTAAATATCAAGTCAAAAATCTTAATATTCAATAATAAAACATGTCAAATTCAAATGATTCCAATTCACTATAAAAATGTTAATATTAATCAAAAAAATAGAAATAATAATAATCAAAACATAATTACAATTCAAAATTTGTCAAAATACGTCAATAATAAAACATGTTAAATTCAAATGATTTCAATTCAATAATAAAATGCCAAAATTAATCAAAAAAATAGAAATAATAATAATAAAACATAATTAAAATTCAAAATTTGTCATTTAAAAATTCCGATACATCATGATAACATCTATCTAATAATATATTTTTAATTTTCTTCTTATATAAATTAAAATTTAATTCTTTTATGTATGTCGGGAGTTTATTATACATTCGAGGGGCCATACAGAATATGTTTTTTTCCATAACAGCTGTTCTCGAGTTTGGCATGCACAACCTATTATTATCGCGTCTATTGCGATCTATAACATCTGCCATTCTAACGAAAAGATGCATGTTATCTTTTACAAATAGTAAAACCTCAAAAATGTACATAGACGGAAGTGTCAGAATTTTATGTTTTAAGAAATTAATTTTATGGTTTACATCTGTCCGTTATTTTTAAACCAAACATTGCTCTTATGCATCTTTTTTGCATTTTAAATGCTGTGTCTTTATCAGTAGAATTCCCCCAGAAGATAATACCGTATCTCAGAATTGACGCAGATAAACCATGATATGCGGTAAGCAGGGCATCTGTGTTCAATAAAGAAGACAATTTAAATAACGCATAGGCCGCACTACTGACTTTCTTACTAAGGTATTCTATATGAGATTTCCAATTTAATCTACAATCAATCATAATACCTAGAAATTTGGCACTTTCCACTTCACATATGTCAAAATTCTGATAATCAATTTTTAGAGGTCGATCATTATTTATCCGTTTCTTAAATGTCATTAATTGGGTCTTTTCAAAATTTATTTTTAAATTATTATTATCTAACCATGAAATAACTGATGTCAAATATTTTTTAATGTCATATTCATAAATGTCAGGATCGTTACACGGAATAGTCAAAGTACTGTCGTCAACAAAAAGAGTAATTGGACAATTCACTGATTTAGGTAGGTAATTTATATAAACATTGAAAAACAATGGACCCAACGTACTCCCTTGAGGCACTCCATATTTAACTATGCACGTTTCTGAGCAGTAAGTTTTAAAGTAAGCTTTTGGGTTGCAAGTTTTGCTATCATTTAGATATTTCGGTGTATAATGTGATTCAACTAAGAATAGGATCAACTGGGCGCCATATTGTGATGTCATAGCTGTCAATTCAAACCAAATAGGTAGAATGAACAAAAAAAGTTTTAATTTAATAAAACTTGTTTACTAACATTAAGTGAGAAAAAGCATCAGATTTTTTTTAATAACATTTATTTACTAAGATTGAGTAAAAACATTAATCAGAATTTAGCTCTTCTATTCCGCTCATCTCTGCATTACCGTCGGAGTAGTTATAAATAAACATGCACTATTACTAAATCACATAAGAATATGCATCCTTTATGTAAACGAAAGTTTGAAATCGAGTTTCTGAACGCAACTTAAAGTGAAATTTGATGGACGATTTAGGTTATCAACCATGGCCAAAGCTCAATAAGTGAAAAAAAATATCAACCGATATTAATTATCAATATTTGTTATTGTTTGTTTACAAATGTTTGATTTTTAATCTTGAATTAGCGGAATGCTAAAAAAGGGTTCCAAGTTTTTTTTGCAAACCGTACTATTCAAGCGACATTTGACAGATAGAGGTCATTGGCTTTCCTATTCTTATTTGAATCGCATTATAGTGTACTTGAGGTGTGTTGTTTAAGTTGTATTTTTTGTAAAGATTATGTATTTTTCGAGCCACATCGCCTAATAACCTAATCGCTCAAGTGGTTTGGTCGAGTTCTTGGCCTACCTTACCATTTCGTAACAAGTATTCTTTATTAAGTGTAGCTCAATAGTCCAAGTCGTAAGTGCGTTCGGCTGCGGTCGTTGAAGCTAAGCAACTTTCCCAGTGGTCGGTCATTGGATGGGCGACCCAAAATTTACTATCTCGAACTCGTCTGTGCTTCGGAAGGCACGTTAAACCGTTGGTACCGCTTTCATCTTTAGTCTTTAGCATCCACCAATCCGCTCTGGACCCGCGTGGTGGGTCATGACCCAACCTCCTTATTCCATTCGAAAGAAAGTCTGTGCCCCAGCAGTGGGGACATCAATAGGCTGATGATGACGAATTATTTATTACAGCTAGCAAACAGCCTGGTATTTCTACTGTACTTGCTAAGCGGTCGGCCGGATTGGCAAGAGAGAATCCGGTCAGAAGTGCCTTGTAGCGGAGAGTTGCACGCCAAGGATATTGCAGCGGCCCCGTCAGTCCGTGCTGCTGCGATGGAAGCCTTCAGGCTATTGCCAACTGCACCATTCTTGGCTAGATTGCTGGAGGCGCCTATGAACGTGGCCGGTCACAAACTACCCGCTGGAGTGAGTATTATCTTTTTATAATAGGCTATATATATACGCCTCAGATAAAATAGGAGTATTTTCCGGTGAAATGGACTGGCATGAGAGGATCCGTTCGGAGGTACTGGCGAGCTGGGCACCGAAGAGATTACAGCTACCACTCCGTTTCGCGGTGCTGTGATGGAAGCCTTCAGGCTGTTGCCCACTATACTATTCTTGGCGCCCTCCCGTCCTCCAATCGTAGGTCCCTCCGATTCCGTCGGCCTAGGCACGTCTTAGACTACCTAGACGACGAAATCACACGCGCCAACGCGCCTCCGACTCCTCCCACACAGGCCACAAACACCAACACTACACGGCTAGCAAACGTGCACACTAGCTTAGCATTAGGCAGACACCGCACCCGTAGGATAAGAGTGCGAAGACCCGGTCTACACACGACACGCTATACCAGGTACAGGTACGTACCTGGGCGTTTTTCCCCGCCCCCCACGACAACGGCTAACTAGAGCCGAGGTCCGAGTCTCAGAGACGCCCTCTAGTTGAGCCGACGCCCTCAGGTTCGAGTGGTCTGGAGGCTCTAGACGGAGTGGAGACTCCCCCCGGGGAGACGCCATCCGACTGGAATACCTCCAGAGGCACTCGCCAATTCTCGGCTTGAGGTCCCCTTAGGATCTCGCCGTCCCCAAACCCGGTGACGCTGTAAAGGTCATCTGCGACCAACAGCATACACACTCAAAAAAAAAAAAAACTATTCTTGGCTAGGCTGCTCGAGGCTCTTATGAATGTGGCCAGTCACAAAGTACCTGCTGGAGTGAGTATTATCTGTTTTTATAACAGTACAATTGTATTTGAAGACAGAGGATCCTTTCAAAATGTGCTGTATAGCGACCAAGGTCACTATCTTGGTCCGCACCGCTGCTATGGAAGCCTTCAGGCTGTTGCCCACTGCATCATTCTTGGCTAGGCTGCTCGAGGCTCCTATGAACGTGGCCGGTATCGAACTACCCGCTGCAGTGAGTATACCGTCTTTCTATAATAGGCACTAACTTTTCAGATATAATAGGAGTATTTTCCAGTCGTCGATACATTCAAAGGTGTTTTTTAGGCGATTGTATGAAGGTTACGCTCTTAATTCATGTGGGTAAAATGGAAGCTTTCAGGATGTGTTGCTACCAACTGCGCCATTCTTAACTAGGCTGCTGGGCGGCAAGTTTTGATGTTTTTTTTTATATAAAGATCCGACAAACGACTCCGCCTTACCTGATGTTGAGTGGCAGTGAAGTTCAGACACGAATATAGCTAGTGCAGTGACTACTGGCTTTTAGGCCATAAAATCTCTTTTAAAGAACCTCGGGTTGTAGGGTGGGAACACGTGAGCGGGCAAAGCATTCCAATTGAAAATAATAATAATGATCCAAAAAAATTTTCTTTACAAATAATGTCTTAAATTTAAATAAATTTTTAATTACCAGTGGTATTAAACAATTATGTGTAAGATAGGGATGTTCGATATCGATTTTATTAATCGAATTATCGATAAATCGTTTGTAAAATTTTGCGCATTAATCGATTAATCCATAAATTAAAATAATCGATGTAATCGATTATTTTACATCGATTAATCGATTCGCAATGACCTTCATTATGGTCTTTGGTCTTGTCAGTTCATACATTAACAATGCCTAAACATGAAGCACGTCTCAAAAATCATCATAACAAGCTTCGACAGCCGACAGCTTTGTCCATACAATACCCACTGTTACTTTAGTCTTTAAACCATCTCTGTCTATATGTAATAATGTATAATGTTTATGCAGTTGAAGCTACGTATGTTTCTTCTAGATGTCAAACTGGAAAAAAATGTTCATGGTGGCAAAAGACCATAGTCATTAGTCATTTATTCCATAAAAACAATATTACATTGTGTCGGAAATTATGTTAAGTACCTACATAGAAATAAATCCCAAAAACAAAACACTTACATAGCCTGGAATACTATTAAAAACCAATATCCAAATATTTATAGAGTGGCAATCAGACATTTATCAATCATTTCCACGTCTGCCTTCTGAAAGACTATTTTCAGAAGCTGGGCAAATCGCCACCGACATAAGAAACAGATTGATAGATAATGCGTTTATTTTTTGATTTTGATTGACTGGTTCTCATCTTTCGATGTTAATTTTTCTGTCATCCATAGATGAATAGGAAATGTTAGTGCTTAAGTAAACATTCTTATTTTAAAATTGCAATTCTTTTATTTGTAATTAATGTCTATGTATTTTTTTTTGTATTTCGGCGAGAACATTTATTTTCTTAGAAAGTCTGGAATTTTTCTTCGATTAATCGATTAATCTATATCATAAGTGCAATTAATCGATTAATTGTAATCGCCACTGTAGAAATAATCGATTATCGAATAATCGATTACTTTGCTATCGATTATCATCCCTAGGTAAGAAGACTGGCACCTAAACTAAGCCATGGCTTGTTATATGGGATACCAGGATCACTACCCTCGAAAACAATATTAGATATAGGGGAATTAGCTAGGTACCTACACAATTTGAAGACAAAACCAACACAGACACTACGATTACTGTTAACATATTCTTAAACTGTTTAGTTGGGTGAAATGTTAAATAAGTAACAAAAGTAAACAAAAGCATTGCATTTTATGTTGTACAATTATGCACATACAAACTACTCAAAGAATCATATATTCAGTAACGCCGTAAGTGAGCTGAAGCAAGAATTCTTTGAGTTATATAGAAATCAGACGATTTTTTTTTTTATTGTTTGTATGGCAGACGTTCGTTCTGGCGCATACTGGAGCCGCGTGCCGGCACGAGGAGAACTTCTGGCGCGCGGATGAATACCTGCCCGAGCGGTGGGTCACTGTGCGGTCGCCGCACGCCGCCGCACTAGTGGCGCCTTTCGGCCGCGGTCGCCGCATGTGTCCCGGCAAGCGGTTCGTGGAGAGCGAGCTGTACCTGTTGCTGGCTAAGGTAATCCAGCCCCTAACACATTAGACATAAGGACTACTGCCCGAGCGGTGAGTGATAGGATAGCCGCACTAGTGGCGCCCTTTGGCAGCGCTCGCCGCATGTGTCCCGACAATAAATTCGTGGAGAGCAAGCTGCACCTGTTGCTGGCCAAGATAACCCATCCCCTGGCCCACTAGACATAAGGACTACTGCGTGAGCGGTGGATGACGGTGGGATCATCGCACGCATACATCGCAAGAAGTCAACGGACTTTCTTAACTTAGACGATTCACCCACTGAATCGCGCTACGTCGCGTAGCTAAATACGCGCGCGTGATCTGCGCTACGCATCAGGACGCGTTGCCAATGGGCGAATCGGTTTAAAAACGCATGCGGAACTGCGGCGCTATTGCAGCATTTATACTATCCAATTTTTAGGGACCCCGACTAAGGGTGGTGTTTTGTGAGTTAGGGAGTAAGGGACTCGATCTAGAATGATCGACGCGGTGTAAAATTGCTATTATCCTAGCCAGGGCTCACGCCCACCCTTTCGATCGGGCCCTTAAATTGGGTAGTATAAAGCCAATTTATACCCAGACCGCGAAACGCCCCGTGCCTACGCGCCGATTGCCAGAATCTACGCGAGTGACGCGCCGACGTTTGGTCAGTGTGTGGCAGGTCGCGGGATTTCTATACGAACTGAGATACTTGCATACAACGTTAAAATCTGCGCTGACGCGCTACGCGACGAAGCGCGCTGTAGTGGGTGAACCGCCTTAGGCCTCAACCGAGAAAGGAGACTGTCATTGGCCGGAGTAATACGTTAATCAGTCTACAATTGTAATTTACGCCGCCCTCTCTCCCATTTCATTCTAATCCTCTCCATTAAAAAGTTGTCTGACATCGCTCTCAGTGATAAGCCCGCCCATTGTTACACTAGATTTAAATGGCTTTGTATTCATTCAAAATTATAATCTTCTAAGGGGGGAAGGGGGGCATTATGTCTATGGGCCTACCTTGAAATGGGCGGCACATCCCTGCTTATACCTTTAATTAATTACCTCTGCCCTATCTTAAATAAAACTCTCACTGTGACCCTGGTCCGTGGTGTACCACAACAAAGTTTGCATTTTTTCAAACGACTATATTAATTACAGATAATGCAAAGATGGCGAGTGGAATACGACGGTGAATTGGACATCCAATTCGACTTCCTTCTGTCACCAAAGTCGCCGGTATCGTTGCGACTAGTTGAGTGGTAGCAAAACATCATATTCGGTACTCAAAGCACGAAACCGAGAAAGTATTTGTGTGGCCATAGTCAGTTTCTATGGAAACGAAGAAGCGCCCCTATCGGACGCAAGCACAAACTATCTCCTTCTATAGACAATTTTGACGATGGCGATACGAATACTTTCTCGGTAGTTGTTCGTGCTTCGGGTACAGCTTACTAAATAGTGCTTACTGTTATAGAATTTAAGTACTTACTCGTGTAATGGTTTTCGAAAAAGGCGTGTTGTCAAGTAATTTATATTTATAGTTTGGTCCAGTTCATTCCTTTTTATGCGGACTTGGTTCCTTTTATGTACGATTCTCACTTACCGCTGCGCGTCGCTGAGTAGCGCAGCGTAATTTTTACAATTTGCCAACGGAAATTGAAACATTCGTAAACTAGTTGAGTTCCGTATTTGGATGCAATTCAAACATCTATGAAGGCTGCGCTCGGATTCTGCTCTGCCGCTCGGTTCCGCATGCAAAAAAAGGAACTTAACTACATACCTTGTGGATGTTTCAGTTTCCTTCAACTAATTGTAGCCGGTAAGTGAGAATCGTACATCAAACGATAATTACTAAGCACATTCCCACTGAAAATTATGGTCACAATTATTATTTGTGTACGCAAGGGGGGGCAAAGATCAAATGTAGCTAGCCGCAAAGCGACCAAAGTGCGAGCAATTGACTTCCTTCCCTATTATATTGCCCCGTTGCCCCCCCCCCCCCCCCCGTAGTCATTAGCTGGCGACGCCCTTGTGTGTATGTATCTTTACAGAGTCCAAATTGCATTAGAGGAATCTGCAGTAACAAAGATGAAATTGATTTGGAAGTAAATGCAAACGTCGGCATCGTCGGCTTTTTTCATTAGATTCAAAGCCAAGACTTTTATTGGCAATCATGATTAATTTTATGGTTGAAATTATAGTAATTTCAACCTTACGCGAAGCAAATAAGGACATTTGCTACCCCTCAATCCTTTAATCGCTCTTTCTGTTTGCGCTGGCTAGACGATAAATAATAATAAAGCAATTTATAATTTGCTTCCTAAATGTAGTAAAAGTTAAAAACTTAGCATACATTTTAAAATAGTGCAGTTACCTATAATCTCCGTAGCACGAGCACTCCCCTAGCATGAGCACCCCCCCTCTAGCATGAGCAACACCTCCCCCTAGCATGAGCACCGCGATATGATATATAGCATCGTTTTTATCACGCTCATTGTCTAACTACTATGGAAATTTGACAGGCGCAATGAAAAACGTGATGTAATGTAAATTGTGGTGCTTATGCTGAGCAACGACGCAATCAGAACCAAGTTTTGGTCAACTTATAAACATTTGCTCACACATAACAGTGGCGCGCCTGCCCCGCCCACAAGGCCCTTCAAAAATCTTCTTAGTCTGAGTGTCAACTCCATAGTGTTTTGAGCGTGATCAAAACGAGGTATACAGGGCGTCCCAAGGATTTGTCATACGGAGGGAAAGTATATTAAATATTGAAGATAGGATATTTTACTGAAGGAAAATAGCTGGAACTGCATTCACATATTTTTAGAATCGACTGCTACAACTGGGAATAAAACTAATAAAATGATGTATTGTTTCGGTAAAATATCCTATCTTCAATATTTAATATATTTTCCCTCCGAGTGACGCCCTGTATATAATATCGCGGTGCTTATGCTAGACAGGTGTTTATAACAAGATTTTAAAATAAATAAAGATCACACTTACCAAAGAGAGAGTAGTTAAATATGTAAACACGCCTTAGTTGTAAATGTAATTAATGAAGCGAAGTAAGGTTTTGTAACGTTTGACTTCTGGTCCTTCGCGCCGGATGTTTAGACTTGGTTGCCATGACAGAACTAAGAAGTAACAGGGTATTGGCGAATTCTGCTCAAAATGTACACTTCTTTCTAGTTATAAGAACTGTCCACAAATAATTATATAAGTGCGTATTGTGTATGTTAACATTTTTACAATATAATGGTCCCCTAATTTTAGTGAGTAGTTTTTTTTTTATAATAATATAAGATATGGCTGTGTTATTATCAAAAACGTATTTATATAAACATTATAAACCGTAAATACCTCTTGTTAATAAGACTGCGTACGACCAGCACAAGCATTTGTCAGCATTTATAATTTTTATTTTGATTATATTATTATTACCTACTTAAGTTCATCTGGCGATGGATTAGGTTTACAACCCCGGCAAATTTCTTTAGCATGGAACATAGAAGGAAGCCTGCGCAGTAGCAATTTTCCATAGTCATGTTCGTCTACTGCGCAAGATTGTCTGTGGTTTTGTTCAAGATGTTTGCCGCTACCTATGCTCATATATAAAAATACTAGCTTCCGTTAGGACCTGAATTGGCGGTATTGTAGTACCTATTATGATATCTTGCTCCGATAAAATAACGAAGGCTAGGTTATTAAAATTCTACAACTTAACCATTCAATTTCTGAACGAAATGTTAAATTCACCAAAACACCAGAACTCAGCACCTATCTAATTTTTGAATTAGATAAAACCAATTCCTAGAAATTCTGTCGAGATTATGAATCCTTGTTCAAACAATTGCGATTAATAATTTTGCCAGGTAACATCCTGGTAAAAATTATTGAGCGACGGCCATAGACAAAAAGCCTGCGCAGTAGCAATTTTACATAATAAAAAGTCTACTGCTCGAGTTTGTCTGTGGTTTAGTTCAAGAACTTTGCCGCAATCTATATCAAACCTATTCAAAGCTTTTAAACCAACTACATATATAATAATAAATATGCTCTTTAGATTCTGAAGTATGTAGTAATAAGTTTATTTTACATTTCACCATTGCCAGTTGTATGTAAATATAATATGATAATATTTGTACAGTCAACGCTATTAGCATGTACAGTACCTTTAGCACAAACCAGTATCGAATTCGAATAGCTTGCGAGTGCGAAATGTCCTTGTCAAATTTTGTATGGAAACTTGAACAGCAGCGCCACAAAGGATGTAACGAGAACTAAAATTCAGTACACATTTAACAATGACATTTTGCACTCGCAAACTATTCGAATTCGATATTGGTTCGTGCTAAGGGTACAGTTTGATTTTGACAGCGTCTTTATTAATTAACTTCAAGACAGCTATTTGTAGTGCAAGTGCTCAATGGCATTGTGATATTGTCAGTTCATGCAAAATAGAGCTGAAAAGAAATAACTTTTATGTGGTCATTTTCTTTGCGAAGCTACGGCAAAAGACAAGACGTGGGTTAATAGAGTATTATACTTAATTGACATCGCTCAGTGCGGCCGTAAGTTTTTAGTACAGTTGACAGTACTTGCACTACGAATTTCGTTCTTATATGCAATAAATGTGCTGTAAAAGTCATATTGCTGTCACTTCCAGTGTGCCACACAGAAAGAAGTATAGAAACAGTGGTATCAATTCTGATATGATTCTCTAAACCTAAACTTTTTGACAACACGCACCTTCGGTGCGACACTGTCACTTTGCAAAAAAATCATTTTTTCAGGAGAAGCGTTTAAAACTTTAACATCCCAAAATATACAATATTTAAAGTTTTTTTAGATGAATCGCAAAGCTGTATAAGCTTTTCATCACGTAAAAATCTTTAAATATTGTATGTTTTGGGATGTTAGAGTTTTAAACGCTCATCCTGAAAAAATTTTTTTTTGCATAAGTAACAGTGTCCTTGTCATTCTCTATACAGAATAAAAATGAGAGACTGATGTTAAATTTAGATTTAAGTTAAGAGAATCACGCTAGAATTGGCACCAGTATTGTGAGCTCTTTAATAGCGGTTGAAGCGTGCACATAGTACTGTCCCGCTTTAACAATAGGAATACGCGGGGTAAAGTAAGAGAAATTCTATTTAGTCCGTCAGTAAGATTATCATAAAATAATGGACACATTTTTTTACTTTTGTCAAACAACCGAATAATTACATGGATAAAGCGCTTCAAATTTTGGGAGCGGGTGCACGTGACGTCACTCTAGGACAAAATTGTATCAAGACATGACGTCATGCGACATATCCAATCAATACTTAACTGTATTTTTTTGATTAATATGAATAAAGAACAATAAACGTGCCTAATACTTTTTGATAATCTACCTGATAAGACGTAGAAAAAAAGTTACGTTGTCATCCCTCATGCCGTCTTTGGACAGCAAAGCACGAGACCAGTGTTGGACGCGGTTGATATATAAATATATAACATAATTATTAACTCAATCTATCATCACGTGATTTACTTAAGAACATACGAAAGTTGTGTACGTATATTAATTAAGTTTAAGTTTTACCTACCTACTTATGTTAAAATTAAAACGCGTAAATTGTTTTGTGACATTTACGTTTTCATTATTTTATAAGTTTTGCGAACTTGCGAAATAGGTATTGGCTATATTTTTTATTAATAATTGGGAATCAGATTTTGAAGCAAATACATTAACTTCCTGTTGCGTATTCAAACATACGCAACACTAGACATTGAAATCTAAGGCGAGTCAATTTGTATGCTCGGATTATTTTATAGTTATATATTTCGTAGGATGTTTTGATAAATCGAATTGTCGCGATAATCCTAGGGATTTGCGTAAAACGCCAATAATTAGACAATGGCGAAAGATATTGCTCAATCTTACTGAAAAAAAAGGTAAATTTAAAAAATCAAAAAACCCGACTGCTTTTATACTTCAAATAAAAACTGAAAAGAAAAAAACAAGTCCAGTAGTCTATAATTCTGTTAATAAGGAACAAAGCTACTTTAACAGTCGGGACCCACTGTTGAAAAATATTATGTATTCTTGAATATCTAATAGATTATCTAGACAGTGATACCCCACTCGACATATTTTGTCAACTTATTTTTTTTACTTCGTCACAATATGGCGCCTAATTTTGCCCATACTGAATTTTGATTACTATCATATCTTTAGTAGCACTCCCATGATTGAGACGATACGATTGATGTATGAATCATCAAAATCGGTCCAGGCGTCTGGTCTCTAGTGTGCCACAAAGGAACAAACATACATAGATAGACTGTTAAACACATAACCCTGTCTGCGCGTCGCGCTTCGCGCTCTTGCATAGTCGCCTCAATTAGATTGCGAAAAGAATCGTTCGGTTATTATTTTCTATTAATATTCTTGGGTTTTTAGTTTCACACCTTGTTCACACTAGGCGAGCCGAGCGATCGTGCCGCGGCAGCGACCGGGGAAACGCTCTAAAGAAATTTGGCAACAGTAAAATTGAGCAATGTCGTCACCATTGTCTAATTATCCGCTTTTTCACAAAATCCCTAGGATTTTCGCAAAAAAACGATTTATCAAATCATCTTACGATATATTAAAATTATAACTAGTGACCCATTGTCTATTCATTTAACTATCACTTCGATGTAGACTCTAGTTTTTGTTGCTTTTGAAAAAAAATTTTTTTTATATACTAACTGATATTGAAAGTCCGCCCCGCAAGAAAATCATCAACTGTTATTATGTGAATATCGTTTTTAACATAACGAAGTAAAGCGACCTTGGTGCGTTAAGCCCTTTGAGTATCCACATAAAGGTTACGTCACATGTAATTTAGTGACACCACAAAATTTTTAATCATTAACATAAATGATGTTCACCAAAAATGTACTCTACTTTTTAATGTGACAATAATATTCGAACGTAGCGCGACTTGATTTTCGTATATACGTTTTAATATTGTTATTCGTAACCGCACCAAGGATATTTCTGTAAGTATTTAGTCTATAGTTACTTTGTTTTTTGGTTCTGTAGTAAAAACACTACCTCTATCTATTGTACGTTATTTATAGTCAGCTCATAGGTTTAATAATTATTTTACTGTCATCATTATATATATGTTGATGCATTAGGCATTCATATTTAGTATGTAAAATACTTCAATGTAAAATGAAATTTTCGTCTGTTCTTTTATAAGTCAGAATAATATAAGTAGTTTGTCTTTTGTTAATAGGGAGACACAAAATCATGTAGTTTGGATACCACAATTATCTTCTTTAAACACTAGTGATACCGGAGTTTCATTTAAACGTTGGCTAATTTGACTCCATCCGCTACCCCATGGTACTACTCTTGGAACCTGAAACACAACCAACGAAACCAAGGGCGGATCCAGCTTTGGCGCCAGGGGGGGTCATATAGTCGTGGTCAAGTCACAGTGGGTACAGATTAGTGTTGCTGAACTATCGATATGAAAACTATCGACAGTTTACATCGAAAATCATGTACCCTATCGATAGGCCTATCGATAGAATCGATACAATCGTTAGTATCGAAACTATCGATAGCACAGAACAGGGCAATACTATCGAATGAGTGCAATAGTATCGATACTATTGTAGTTCGTTAATAACAAACTATTGATAGTATCGATACTATCGATACCGTTGATTTTATCTGCAACAATACTATCGATAGTATCGATACTAGCGATTGTTTTAGACTATCGATAGTCTGCCAATTTGCAATAGTATTAGGTATGTTTTAACAGTATTGTAGTTGAGAACTATTAGAGGCCGATATATATATTTTTATAAACATTTCTATCGAGCTGTGCTAATTCTAATAGTTGATTGTGATTGACTATAATACCTGAAAATTGTAAACAATACTATTGCAAATTGTTAAACTATCGATAGTATAGTTGCAAATAAAATCGACAGTATCGATACTATCGATAGTTTATTATTACCGACCTACAATACTATCGATAAGCCGATCGATTGTCATACGATTGGTCGGCTATCGATAGACTATCGATTAATCCTCGATAGTCGACTATCGATCGGCAACACTAGTACAGATTGTGAAGTGGGTACAGCTGGACCCAGCCCAGAGGGGGGGTCATGACCCCCCCTGGATCCGCCCTTGAACGAAACAACTCATTATTTTACTGAATCTTCTGCAAGTACAGAGGAGATAACTTCCGCAGACGGGTCTCCAAATATACCAGACCACAATAATAATATGGCATTTTTTTCCTAATCTTGTTTCTTTAGAAATTCGTGTTGGTAAAATAATTATTGAATTCCCCCTTATTTGTTTATTCACGTTGAGATTTATTGAGAATTTGTTAATTGATAATTTTGTTTAGCAATACCGAATCACATTTGTTAATGATAGGGATTTTAAATGATTCTACTTATTACCTATACAACATTATATTCGATGCATATTATTATATAATTTTTTTACATGATACCTTTGTTTCATTTATTGATCTTCCCGTTTGAACGCCTTTAGTTATACTGATGATCGCCTATAGTTTAGTCATTTAAGGTTTTATCCGCGGAAAAAAATCCTACACAGCTGAATTTTTGTTTAGGTACTTACACCTTTTTACATCTTCATTTTAACGGCGTTGTAAAAAAAAGCTGGCTAAATAAGTTAGAAAGGTGAAAACAGTTTAAGTATTGCGGCATATTTAACCACGCTAAAAAAACCCGACTATTTCAAAATCAATGCGTAACAAAAGAGTTCTTTTGATTTAAAAAAATGATCGTGTAATTTTTACGGCAATTATTATGAACATTTACAAACAGACCCTTCTTTCCCAGTGGGCACTTTGGGCAAGTGCCCAGGGCCCCGCGATCGATAGGGCCTCAGATCAAATACAAAGTCCCTATTTCCTGTTAAATCACCAAACGGGGGTCATAGGCCCCCCTTATCCTTATTAGGATAAATAATCCTTAATATTTGCCTCCCTTATCCTAATATGCCCAGGGTCTCGAATAGGTTAAAGACGGCATTGTTTACAAAAGTCACAGTATTTAAATACTCAATATTACCATCACCTATAGTGATTTTTCGTCATTTTTTCCTAAGAACAGAGCAACTAGTTTTTTTTTAATATTCAGACTAAAACGCGGGGATCTTCAATTTGCTATTGAAAATTGGCGACAATCTCTAATTGTTCCGCTATATTCTTAACCTCAACTATTAGGTAGGTACTCAATGGTACCAAAATATAAGTTCACTCTGGCAACCTTGCGGTTTATTTTTGTTTTGGTTAAGAGTTGGAATAGATAACAACGAATGATAGCAATACAATGCGATAGCAAAACCGCACTTATAAATGTTTGCTGTTGCCGAGAAAATAATCACAAACCTATCGCAGACCTGCGTAACAAAGGTGCCTTTTATAGTAAAAGAATAAAAATGAAGTTTTGCGCGAATTTGGCATTTATGTTCACTGAAACATCTTCGATATTAGAAAGATACGCTTTGGCCAGAGATGCCGGCTTCAAAGCAGTAGAGACTGGGTTTCCGTTTGGACACACATTGCAGGCGGTAAAACAGGCCAAAGAAAACGCCGGAATAGAACAAGTGTTGATAAATCTTCTGACAGGTACTTAAATTTTGTTGTTTAGCTATGAGTAAGCAGTTTATGATTAAATAAATATCTTCAGGAAATATTCCTAGTGACATTCTGAAGGACAGTAAACAAATGATACTTTTATATAACATTTTATGAAGTAGGTACAATTTAACTTATTAGATAGATGTTGGATATTTAAATGATTGTTGATTTTAAATAAATTATAACAAAATTTTAAAACTTACCTACAATCAAAAAATGCAAAGAACATTAAATTGAAACCAGTGAACTCAAATTGAGGTTAGGAAATTGTTTTCTATTGAGTCTTTTTGTTGAACAAATATTTTTTGATATTTCTTAAACTACAAAAAATATTAAATACTGATATTCTTTAAACATAATAGTCTTGTTATTTCTGTTATATATCACTAATAATGACATTAATTTAGTGACCAATTTGTCTAATTTATTGATTTTAGGAGATGTAACTAAAGGAGAATTAGGAGTGACGGCTGTACCAGGCAAAGAAAATGAATTCCAGTCTAACCTCAACTACACTATTGAATTTGCAAAGGCTGTTAATGCTAAGAAAATTCACATTATGGCTGGAAAACTTGAAACAGTCACCGCTAAGAATTGGGAAACTTACGAGAACAACTTGAAATATGCAGCGAACAAGCTAAACGAAGTTAATATCTTAGGGGTAATTGAACCGATCAATCAACATTCTGTGCCCAATTATTTCTTAAGCAACTACGAAAAAGGTGATGTTCAAATTGTTATGTTAATTAATTATTATGTACTACCAAATCTTTTATCTTTAAATAATAATCGTTCTGATTAAATATTAGAATTTTGTTGGCAGCTATTGAAATAATAAAACGAATTGGTAGTCCCAACATAAGGCTGATGTTGGATATTTTCCATTTACAACAGATCTGCGGTGACATAACACACAATATAAAAAAATTCATGCCATATGTTGGTCATATTCAAGTAAGTAAAGTTACTTTTTTTCATTGCTACTAATTTTATCATTCAATATACTTGGATTAAGATTTTAGCCTTAATAATGTAAATGAGTAGTGACAATAGGTTCATCACTGCTTAACAAAAATAAAGGCTTATCAAATGACTATTTAAGGACATTTCTCTGCAATATGAGTACTATTACACATCCAATACAAACCTGACAAAATATGTACATTCAAATTTAAACTATGATGCTACAAGATTGTTATACTTTCATAAACCTGTATTGTACATAAGTGAATAATGTAATATGAATAAAGCTCACATGGATTTTTTCAGACCAATATTGGAATTTTAAAATTAATATTTATTTAATAACTGAAGCATGGTGTTTTACAGATAGCTCAAGTACCAAATAGGAATGAACCAGACACTCCTGGGGAGATAAATTACGAGTACGTACTTAAGCAGGTGGAATTTTATGGTTATGACGACTGGATCGGACTTGAATACAAACCTGCCAACAGTACAAAAGATGGTCTTAAATGGATCGAAAGCTTCGGTTATAAATTATAATCTATGATGGCACTTGTCAATTGTTATGTTATTGAAGAGATAACATAAAAAAAAGTTGATTTTTCTATTGTCTATAGTTTTAATAACACATAATAGGTACTTAAAATAAAAAAAGGAATTAAAAATAAATTGTATGACTAACTTAACTACGATATCAGTGATTATGGTCATGCACTTTGAAATTGTTGCACCCAAAAGTGTTTTTTGACACCGTCCAATGATAATCGCTCTTTGCTTGTTGGTCGAAGAAGCTGCAAAAAGTGAGAAAAAAGGCTTTTCTATATTATATTGACAACCTAAGAACTATTCAAAATTTGTATGGCACTACCAGAGACAAAAAGAAGAAATATGAAAATCATCTATCAAAGCACATCACTAGCAATAGTCGATATCTCGATATCGATAGTATCACCTCTGTTCACACTTCAGAACTTTAATTGTATTAGTGGGATCTGTAAGGTAAAAAAAAAGATTTATGTTGAAAGGTTGATGATAATGAGATGGTTAAGCCAAGAAGCAGAAGGTGATATGGCATGCTGATAGTTGCCTCAACTCCTTGTTGTATAAGGTCAACGGGGGCCCGGAAGTCAGTCACATCTCCAGGTTATGATGTGAATAGCTTTTAGGGGCAACGAACCTCTAATCACAAGGCCTAAAGCTTCTTGGCTTAAGCATCTCATTATCTTCAACCTTTCAACATAAATCTTTTTTCTTTTTAGCACTAAGGTAGACTACCGCGACGATCGTCACGTCGATCTCAGCCACGCGCGATCATTTGTTTGCGACTGACGCGCGCGGCTGATGCGACAATAGCCAGTGTATGAAAATGTATGACACCGTTTCCGAAGTCTGCGAGAGACGCGAGCGGCCTATGATAGACGGTGCCAGACATTTTTGATGTGTAACATCTTTCTTCTCGCTTTCCTGTAATTCGTGGGAGTGATTTCGTGAAATGGGACGGAAGTGTGTAACAGGAAGTCGCGAAAGCGCGCGCTATTTGATTTGATTTTAGAACATAATGTTCAAATGGCTTATTCCTTTTGTAGTAGGTTTTATTTCTTTTTTTCTAATATAAGGAGAGGTTTCAAATGTTACACATCATACGCGACTACTGTAAGGCTCGCTCGTTTTTTTTTGCGTCTATGGCTTTCTCCATTTTACCAGATATGCCGGACATATTCATACACTGAATAGCATCAGTCGCACGCGCAAGATATATCAGGCGCAGCTACGATGCACGAAACCTAAGGGTCTTTTGTCTTCCTCCACAACGATTAGGGGCCGTTCATAAAATACGTTCGCATACAAGGGGGGGGGGGGGGGGGGAGGGGTTTTGCTAAGTGTGACAAGATGTGACAAGGGGGGACGGGGGGTCTACGGCAACGTGACGTTCGTCGTTTATTAAAAAAAAATTAGTATTTCTTTCAACTATTTTTCTTTCTCAATTTTTATCAAGATAGAAAATCATTTATTTCGTATTTAGTAAACATATAGACATTCAAACGTATATAGTTTTATTATACAATAAATTGTAACTTGATATATTTACTCATGTTTATTTTTCGACATTAGCGCATATTTATATATTTAAATTTTATTATAAAAACTAAATAAATATTTAAATTCTTAAAATTTGTGTACTATCAATTGAAATTAATCATACTTGGGGAGGGGGGGAGGTCTCCGTTTTTGTGGCGGAATATTTCAAGAGGGGTCACAGAAAGTGTGACACAGCGTGACAATAGGGGGGGAGGGGCTCGGAAAAAGCTCATTTTAGCGTGACGTATTTTATGAACGGCCCCTTACCCTTAGATAATTGGTATTTATTTTGGTAAAAAATCTCGCAACTGTACTTATTCTTATGTAGGAACTATTCAAAATTCAACATTAAATATATTACAAAGTACGCTTCATTGCCATTGAACACTAAATCTACAAAATTTAATTGATTACTCTGCGAGTGCTATAAGTGAAAGAACATTATTTACTATGGCGTTTTAAGCTTCTTACCTTTGAAATAAGGTCTTTGGCGCCCTCTGGTACATGATCAGGAAAACTCATATCCAATGTGACAATTCTTTGGTAAGTCTTGTCCTGCCCCTCACTTTCAAACGGAGGTTTGCCGACCAAGAACTCGTATAATAACACTCCAATACACCAGTGATCTACGGTGACGTCATACACTTCCCTTTTCACCATCTCAGGCGGCAGGTAATCCAGAGTACCACACATTGTTTTGCGCCTAAGAGAAGAATAATCAAATTAGTGATTTAACAACAACCTTCCTAGGTAGTTACGTTTTCAGTACTGTGAAACCCATATAATTTACTCAGAACACAGGTGTGTGTGATAGTTATATCAGATGCAGGCGCGATTCAGTGGTCTATTTGTGTTTGCAATTTGTAAACTTGAAATAAGTCTGTCTTATTGATTTAATCCTTTGAAGCATGATAAGGACTGACTTGTCTAGTTTACAAATTGCATCTTTTTATTTGATGCAAGAAGATGCCATATCTTTCCACTCTGATTTAATCTAAGCCTAATAGTACCTTAAAATTTTGAAATAAAACAGATATAAATAATTATATAATGGTAAACCAACCTTTCTGATGGTGCATGAACTGACCAACCAAAATCAGCCAACTTGAGATCACCATTAAACGCAACAAGTATGTTTTCCGGCTTTATATCACGGTGTATGACATGGTGCTGGTGACAGTACTCCACTGCATCTGCAACCTAATATAAAAAAAAGTTAAGCAGATAATGCACAAAACAGAGTTTGTCTAACTAAATATAGGCAAGTTTAATTTTTCAGAGTTAAATTTATATCCCAACCAAATAGAACCCATCTAAATTTTAAATTTGTAAAATTTAGATTAATCTCCTTCTTATATATTATATTAAGGTAAAACTAAAAAAATACATTCACTGCATTTACATAATGGGCATTTCGCAGCAAACATGTCATTGATCCTTTTTTCGCTGCCCTCTTCACATGAATTGCCCCTTATACCATTTCCGATTCACATCTTAAGAAGGAAAGTATTAAATAAATTAAACTCATATTTACCTGATAAATATATTTGGCAGCTCTTGGTTCAGGGAAACGTCCTTTAGGTGAGTTCGTCAAATGTTTGTACAGTTCTCCACCAGCAGCAAACTCTACTACCAAATAAATGCGTCTTTCATCATGGAACCAAGTCAGCAGGCGCAGAATGTTTGGGTGTCTGCAATGTTCATCATGTTTTATAAAAACTAATAAACCATTTAATCCTAAATATGTTCTTTGTTGTGACTAATCAAACACAAGTTTATTAAATGTACCTAGTCTCCATGAATTATAATTTTTATTCTTTTTATAAATAATGCTTGAGTTTAAGGTAGAAAGTTGCTTCACAGACAAATTGTTCAAGATATTTAGTATGCCTGCAATAAGTACTTATTTGCCTACCCTATGTAAATCAACCTTATTGATTAAGCAAATAAAGGTAAAACTATAATCGTAATCCAAATAACTTACTTCAAATGCGACTGAATTTCAATTTCTCTCATTACTTGTCGTTCACATTTTGATTTGACGATTTGTGATTTAAACAAAGTTTTGATAGCAACAAGAAATCCAGTTTTCTTTTCTCTTGCAACGTGAACATGACCAAATTTGCCTTGGCCTAAAGCCGAACCGAGCTCAAAATCCCTTGGTGACCATTTGTAACTAAAATCATGACAAAATTATTAACATTTCAATTTCAAAACACTGAATTTGTCGAAATCGTTAACATAAAACGGGTACTAACGCAGTTCCGTAGGCTTCGTGACTAGTAATTTTCGTCTCAAGTTCTAATACTTCGTTTTTCATAGCTGCGGTCATAATTAATATACTGAATTACAGAACAAAATTTGTAGGAAACACTGCATTCATTCAGACCGTTACAAACAAATCCAACGATTCAAAAAACTGTCATTATACCGGGCTACGTTCCAAACCAACACTCCAGGTGTAACAATGACATAGGTTTCATACAAAGTAAAAACTGAAACGTCAGGCTAAAAAGTTACAAACAGAGCGTAGGTTTGGAACTCAGCCGTATTACGATAGTGATGGCAATGGACGTGTGATTCGATGTTTGAGGTAGTTAATTACAGCATTATAGCGCATTATGCGGCATAATGCATAACGTTGAGTGTTTCAACTACAGCAACGCTTCGCACAATCGAGCACTCTCAAAAGTAATGATTTCGTGTGGTGTGTGCAATCGTACCAACCCAGTGACAGAAAATTAACAAGTGTTTTTTCTTTAAGTTGGCATTGATCGAAATGTTTTATTTATATGTTATCGTAAGTAATATTATTTATTGTTGAAAAAACATTAAAGCTTTCGTTTCATTTAATAGGTTTTTTAGATAATCAAAGTTAATTCAAACTGTTAAAAAAATAAATATAAGTATGGATGAAGGTACAAACATTGACTTTTTTTTTCAACACTGACCTTAGCGCACTCTGCTGGTGCATTTGAAAACTAATTCACGTTCCAATTATGCATCAGCATAATTCGGTATTGTGCGCCACTGAGTCGCATTATGCTCTGTAATTGGAAAACAACCTGAAACTGCCATCCCATCCGTCTATCCCAAAATTAAAAAAAACATCCAGCGGTTTTTAAATCGGATGCGATTTATTCTTAGATCATATCGTATACTCAGATGATCGATGACATTACTTTAAAAATGTATAATTGGAAATTAATTTAAGCCGAATCATTTTGATCTTTGCAATCATTGTTGCTATGTCTGTATTTTTATAAGTATTTCTAACACTCACACCAATAAAGACAGAAACATATCTACGTGTCGTGGCGCGTCGTGACGACCTACAAATATGTCTCTAACCATAATAAATGTATGAAACCGATGTGCTTCTGTCGCGTCACGACACGCCACGTTCGACAAGAAATTGTGTGCTTGTACTCGATTTGTAAAAGTTATAAGTCGTAATACTAAAAGACGTTATTGGATATGACCTATGTTGGAAATCACAACAGGTACTTAACTTGCTAAATTCATTAGATAAAAAAAATAAAAGGAATTAATAGGTATTACCGCACTTATTTTTTTCTCCTCTAGCCACAATCGAAGTTTAGGTTTAGAAAATCATGCCAGATTCGACACCAGTGTTTAACTGAGAGAAAACTGTATAACCATCGATGCTTCTCAGAACAAGTATCTTAATGGCAGCGTTGTAATAAAGCAGTAGTGGATCATTTAACAGGTCGGTGATTATCACTTCCATCTATCAAAAGCAGTTAGCGAATAGACCAGCTGGCATGTGATTTACGGGGATTTAATGCTCATCAACACATATAAGCTTTTAAATAATATTTTTTTTATGCATGCTGTGCCTTCCTTGTTGTATATAATTATATTACAATTTCGATACGATCTTTTTAAATCGTATGAGATCGATCTAACGCAATACGAATCAGTAGGCCTATTTGCTAAGTGCTTTTGACAGATGGTAGTGCTAATCACCAGGCTATTTAGTGATCCATTACTGCTTTAATATAAAGCCACTAAGATACTTATTCTGAAAAGTATCGATGGATATGCAATTTTTACTTAAGTTACACACTGTTAATATCAAAAAAGTTAGCAAATAGGCGGGCAGATCATAGAACGATTCATAGGGATGCAATTCATAACGGACAAAACATCGATTCAATTCTAAAATTGTGCATCCCTAAACCTAAGCTGTTGACATTGACAGTTCTCTTTCGTTCGGAAATATTAATAATCATAATCTTTATTGCTTCATGTAGGTACATGGGTTCTTAAAATTAAAATATGGATTCACAACATGAGCCTTGCAAGGGCATTGCAAAAATTTTCTTAATTTCTAACATACATAATCACAAATATCGTATCGTGAAAATAATTTATGTAATATAAGTGATAATTATCTTTATATATTATTTCATTATTTGTCTAGCTTATATAATTATACATTTATTATATAATAACAAGGAAATATTTTCATTTAATTAGGTATGTATAATTGGTGTTCTATTAAAACCTGATAATTAATTAATTTTATATACCTACCTGTATTGCAACGATTGAAATACTGTAAATATTATTAAGATATTCGTCAATATTATAGAATCAGTTATTAATTATGAAATATTTTATTTTATACTAAACTGTTTAATTTTTAAGTTATTTTCATCACATTATCTAAAGGAGTGCTTACACGTTGTTTGACAAAGCCTGAAGTCGCGGCACTAAACTAGCGCTGACCGTTATTGCGCAGAAGTAAAAATTATGATGTCTTAGGGGGGGAACGAGGTGCGCGGGTGGACGTGCGTTACGCCGAATCCGATTGGCTCTCCTGTCGTATCCATGCGCAGCTATCCCCTCCGCGTTTTGTTTCGTGGTAATACGCAGGGGGCGTAATTCTTTAAACGGAAAAAACTAGCACGAACCAATATCGAATTCGTAACGTTTGCGAATCCGAAATGTCATTGTCAAATGTGTACTGATTTTTAGTTCTCGTTACGTATTTTGTGGCGCTCCTGTTCATGTTTCCACACAATATTTGACATTGACATTACGGACTTGCTTACGTCACGAATTCGTTCGGTAAAACGTACGGTTCGTGCTAGGGGTGACCGTCCGCGCGTGACGCCAGTTTTATGAAAATGGAACTGACACCTGTTGTTGTTGCTGGCTCGGGACGAAAAAGGCCTAAAAATTATGACAAAAGTGTGCAGTGTTAAAATTTATTAGCATTAAAGGTTGGTGTAAAAAAAAACCAGACATCTAAGGGCAAGGTGCTCGATGGCGCAAGTGGTTAGCGCGTTCCGCAGCGATCGTTGAATTTAAGCAACTTTCGCAGTGGTCGGTCATTGGATGGGTGACCATAATTTACTATCTCGAGCTCCTCCGTGTTTCGGAAGGCACGTTAAGCCGTTGGTCCCGGCTGCATCTGCAGTCGTTAGCACCCACCAACCCGCACTGGGCCCGCGTGGTGGGTCATGGCCCAATCTCCCTATTCCATCCATAGGGAAGCCTGTGCCCCAGCAGTGGGGACATTAATAGGCTGATGATGAAGGGCAAGGTGACACCAGAATAACCACCACCACCTGAGGAGGTTTTACGTTTATCACATCACTAGTCTTTCTATAAATAATAATATGTCTAAGTATCTATACCACAAAATACAGAAAGAGGTTAGAAGAGCGAGGAAGGCGCGCCACGGTTGTGTGAGCAAATGCTCATAACTTGACCAAAACTTGGTTCTGATTATGTCGTTGCTCTCGAGTGTGAGCGTTGATTGGCTTTATTGTTTGATGTCGCGTCGTTTGATTGGCTATTATCTATTAGGTAGAAGAGTAGTGGGGGCGAGCCGGCGACATCGGTTCCCGTACAAAAAATCTAAGAACACCCTCCTAACCTTTTGCTGTGTTCTGTGACATTGACACACAAAAAGGATTTCAAACTTAAATCTTTATTTAAGATATAGCGCAAGGCATTAGAACCTTATTTAAGTTGATAAGAATTGGACTAAGGCCCACTTGCAGTAAATTCGCTGAATCTCGATTCAACTAGAACTAGATTTAACTCGTAGAAAAATGACAATACGTCAATCTGAGATCATTGTATGGGATGAAACTAGTTTTAGATAAATTGAGATTTATAAAAATTCCTCCTAGTGGGGCCTTGGAAATTTTAAGTTTACTGAACGAATTAATAAGTAAGAATACAAAAAAAATTTGTTTATTAAAAGTATTTTATTCTCATAATACTACTTAATCACAATTTCAAAACCTAAAAATTGTGTGGTTATAATGATTTATTTTAGAACATAAAATCATCCGCTTTTTATTTTTGATACTCAGAGCATTTTTTTAATTCTAGTAGGTATTCAAATATTTAAATGATCATCGAAAAATAGTAAATAAATCGCCGGTAACCAAAAGGTTAGGTTAGTAATTGTATTTTTTGAGGATCAATATTATTGTTTAAGCACAATATAAAAGCATTTCCATAACCCTTTTTGTACAATAAATTTTCGTTATTAAGCTTTTTGAGAATTTCGAAGAAGGACTCAAGGAGAACTATTGAATTAAATGACGTAGGCACGTTAACCCGAGCTCGACAAGTAGTGTACAGTCAGTGTTGCCAGGTCCGATTTTTGAAAATCGAGTGGCGTTATAGAAAAAAACAGTAGATGTAGGGATAGAGCTAGTAGATGCAGAGGCGTTTTGCACCCCTAGAATTGGCAAATCAAGATATTTTTTTATACACAATAACATTTATTTTACCTACATTATTAATGGCGGAAAATACAGCTCAACATGCAATTAAAACAGAAAATCGTATTCTAAGGAAAACAGGAGATTCATGTACAAAATCAGTAGAACAGGTGAAAATTCAGAAAAACAGGAGATCTCCTCTCCTCGGAGACCTTGCAACACTGAGTACTGTAGTGAGTGCATCGTTATTGAATCAAAACATCCGCTTTCCACGCTAGCGCTAGAGAGAGCGGGGTGAGGCGAGAGATAGGGAGATCCTGACCAACCCCAACATAGGGCGCAACCCCTGTGTTTTCCGAGGCACGTTCTCGCGTTTACAAAATATTGCTATGAGTGGTGCTTCAGGAGACTATAAATAAATGCATAGGAAATTGAAATTACTTTGACTGAAATCTCACTCAAGCAGAGGAGAGGAATATGTCAAATGTTTTATAGATTTTTTATCAGTGCGATCCTTAATTATTAAAGAATTTACATAATTTTTGGACTTTATAAAACCTAGGCATGTCTTTAAATAAAATAAAACTCAGGTTTACTGTTAAGAGGGGAGGCGGGCAAT